TGATTTCCACTCAACTCTAAACCAATCCTATAGTCAACACATATATGAGAATTGAATTCACGATTCATATGATTATTATTGAAATACTCTTACGATTGCATCAATTGGTTGGCGATTGTCTCCAAATGATCGTTGGATTGAGTGATGGGTTGGGCGGACATCACAACCACGACAGACATCATTGCGATCAATGTTTTCATCATTTTTATGGAGTTTTAAGATTTTTTCAATTCTTTCAATTAATTCAATACAGAATCGACTGTTTGTTTGATTGACTTTTGAAACGAATTTCTGTTCTTTATATACAAAACAAAAGTCTAATAAAAGAGATAACAATTGGTTTTGAAACTTGCAATATTTCAGTGATATCTATTGGATGAGTCATTAATGTACTTACAATCATACAGTTATACAGTATTTGACTTAAAATCAATTTCGTGGCGTACAATCGCCTCAAGTATTTGATTAGATATAAGATATTTTAGTAATTGTATTGAAATATAGAACCGAATGAACCGAAAGAGATATTGTATTGAAAACTAAACAAGTATAAATATTACATATTTATTGGTAATCATTTAGTATCAAAATTATAAGTTATTTTTAATCAAGATCATAATATTTTGTAAATGTAGAGTGTTTTGTTAACAATGATAGACCAAATGTACTTTAGATGTTTACAAGAATATGTACTTATCATAACAATAACTTGATCACTTATAAATGGGAATAATTTAATAGGACTATGTGTTAACATACTAAAATAATATTTATTGTTTATTTGATAAACTACCCAGAATAAAAGCTACAGTTACTATCTAATAATGTAGTTAGGAATAATTTGAAACATAATAATAATTTGAAACATGTCGGTGGCGACCCTGATACACATTTTTACACAAAATTATACATTTTTAGGTTAGGTTAGGTTAGTTCTATCAGGGCCGCCACCGACATGGTGGCGGGGTATCAGGGCCGCCACTGGTGGCAGGCAAACATACTGAAACGCCACCCGCCACGTGGCGTTTAAGGATGTTCCAGATTTACACACATAAAAGGTATTGATTCATAAATATTGTGTAAACATTTAATTATTTCAGAAATTGTTTGTAATTATTATTTTAATTCTATTTTTAAACGAGATTTTAGACATATGTTATGTTTCTAGACTATGATAGACGAAACGTACCTGTCTTATTCAATATCAGTAATTAACATCATAGTGACAATAGTATTGTCACAATACTATCATAAGATTATTTATCAAAACAATGAGTCATATACATCTGTTATTACTGATAAAAGTTTTACTTTTCCCTTTATTCTTATGTTAAATATAATATTATATAAATAGATACAATTTGCAGCAAACAAACAATTAATTGAATTAATAAATTAATATATTTATAATTAATATTAAATATTAAAAAGTGATTCAAATATCAAGAATAATCTGAAAATGTCTTCAGTTTTCTCTGTCATTGTTTTAAGTGTCTGTTCGGTTGCAGTCATCGGTG